TTTAAATGGGCCTATTCCATGGGCCTGGGCCTGGGCCTGGAGCTGCAGCTCCATCAGCCCCTATGTTAATGCTCTGAGTAACTCTTTAATAGGGGTCACTGAATCTGGAAATGCAGCACAAACTAATGCATTTGCAGGAAACATAATCTTCCTATAATTGTTGCAACCTGAAAAAAAACCCTGTAGTTTACTAAAAGCCTTCCTGGCTACAAAATATAATACAATTTATAGGGAGAAAAAAATGGCACTGCAGTGGAGGGGAAGATAGGTCGGTCTTAAGGTACTAAATTTTCTTTAACATCACTGTATAATGCAAATTGATATTTACCCCCTGTGTATACATGTGTTTGGAGGGAAGGAATTAACGATGGGCTCCTGGCAAATGACCACAGTGAATGCTGGATAATCATTTATTATGTTCCCTATTTTAATTCTGTAGTAACTGCAAGATACACAGCTGCACATAACACACGCTACACGAGTAAACAGAAAATGTCCATTTTTTTTTTCAAGTACCTGTTGAAAATGAAAATGTTACTATTAAAGCAACACTCCAGGTACTATAAACACTACAAAATGCTGTCGTGGTCACGATGCCATGAGTTCCTATTGTAAGGAGTCAAACCATTTTAGAACAGTTTGATTTCTTAGTTCGGTCCACTTGGAGCAGCTCCCCGAATCCACTCATTTCTATGTAGCGGCATAAACTCTGTATCTGAGTTAAGCCAGTCGATGCAGGGCTTTGATCATTGACTGAGAGTGATCAGGTAACTCTCTCTGCCAATGGGATAGCCCTGCATTGTCCCACTGCTTGGGAGCTTTTATCTCTCTATATGAAATAGTGTTGGAGGGGAGCAGTGCCTGTCCAACCCAGGTAAAAAGTCAAAGTGGTCAAAAACTGTTTAACTTCTTATAATGGGGAGGGGTTGTCACGGCACTCCTGGCACAAAAACTACTACAGCGCACTGTAGTGGTTATGGTGGTTGGAGTGTTTCTTTAATAATACAGTAACGCACATAAGAACTCTTCATGAAAACAATAATCCTAAATTGACTTTATTAAAAATAGGTGAATAAAAAATAAGTTATGCATGTATGATTTATTTTTATGACTAATTCCAAGGCATGCTGTTACATTTCAGGAAGTACTAACATTACAACCTGATGATAGTTATTTGCTACATCAATTTCCTTCATGTCACATGAGGTTTTTTTTTTTTTTTTATTTGAAGTGAATTTGCCTCCTGCGTCCAGTTTGCAATGAAAAAATTATTATAATTTGCATATACTGCATCTGAAGCACATGCAACCCCACACACATTACAAAAAAGAATAAATTCACACTATTTTAAAATTAGTTTATTTTTAGAAATATTGTAGAAAAAGGGTTAACATTTTATCAATATTTATAACATACATAATTTTTTTTAATGTTTTACAACACAGTGAGAATACTCAGCTGTTTTTCATTTTTCAATATACAATAAGTTCTACATTTGATATATTGCTTTTATATATTTTTTTCTTCATCATATTTTTATTAAGAAATATAAAGAGGTAAACACAACATTCGGTAAACTTTTGTGACATTTTCCAAGTAGTAATACAATACAGAATGCAGACAGAAGTGTATTTAGAGGATTTCCTAATGTTTCGCTATAATGTCTTGTACAATTGGGTTTCCCAAGCCATACAGGCTTCCAAAGGCTGCCTCATGTGCGTATATTTAATACCTTTATTCAGGGAGGACCACCTCAACTCCTCCATAGCGCAGTAAAGTTCAATTTTTACAAACCAGTCTCTTAAAGTTGGGTTTTTGTAGACTTCCAGAGGTTAGTGCTTACTGTTTTTGCTGCTGATAGCATGAAGTAAAGAAGGGAGTATTTTAAACTAGATACAGGTAGCTCTAGCCTGAGTAGTAAAAGACTATCTATTTCGTGTAGAGATGTGCCACTGATACAACATTGATTGTTTGTCTTATTTGTGTCCAATAGCTGGACCCCTTCACAATCCTACCATATATGCTTGAGAACCCTTCTCGTGTGTCCACATCTCCAGCAAAGTGGCGACACATCATATTAACATCGGTTAAGGTCCAATGGAGTCATATACCACCCTGTTATTAATTTGTAATTAACCTCATGTAGAGTGACACTAAAGTGTAAGTGAAGGATCGACTAGAAAATCGCATTCCATTCTCTCTCCCCCAAAGAGTATTCCAACTGTTTTTCCCATTTCTGTACAATAAAAGGTAGCAGTTGGAGCAGTTTTAGGCATTTGGATGAGGATTTAGCCGTTCGGGTTGTTTTAGAACACATCTGCTCAAATTCTGTGTCATTCCTAAGTGCATGTGTGCCATAGGTATGTGCGTGTGTGCCATAGTCTAGTTAAATTTTAATTATGTAAGTATTCTGTTGTTGTTTTTTAAGTGCAGAGGCTAAAAGCTTGCCACAACCATCCCCTTGAGGATAACACCGTAGCTTAGTCCACAAGGTGGCTTTCTTAGTCTTGTCATTCAGGAGTATTTTGAGGTCTGACCTAAGCTTGACTAACTTGTTATAGTCTTGTTCAGAGAGGCTGTCTTTATGTTTCTCTTCTATAGTTCTAAATTCCTGGAGTAGTTGGATTCTATTCTTGGAGCGTTCCCTTTTAAGATGGGAGCCCCATCTTACTAGTTCCACCCAGATAACACATTCATGTGCTTTCTATTGCATAAAAGTTTTATCTTCTTGAAAGTAGTTGGAGATCGATCTAGTGATGTCTTTTTTTGCTAATTAATTTTTTAGTATATTTGGGTTCCACCGATATTGTGTTCGATGTGATCTTTGTAAGTGAATGGCACATGGGCCCCTACTAGAATGGCTACTCCAATAGATCAGCTAAAATGGAAGTTGCTAAAATAAATGACAATTCATTGTGCCAAGTTTAGGCACAGTGTCCTGTGTGGGTTTTCTGTATCAAAATTATATACACTTTTGTTTTAATGAATTTACGGATTACCATATGCATTTTTTCCATGTTGTTGAGACCCGAACATTAGAAGAAAGAACAATTATAGGGTACTTGATATCTGGTAATAACAAAAAGAAAGTTGGTGCAGAAGTGCACCTCCTTCTAATAGTCACTTCTAAAGATAGTCAAAATTCAAAAGATAAAACAGTAAAATATTTCGCTACACTAATATACTCTAACTTACAGAGTATGTAGATGCTCAGAGCATCAGAATGGGAGATGGTGCTAACCCCGGGTTACTTCCAGTCAATACGGCTGGAACAGGAATATGTACAGTAGAAAGAAAGGGTCAACTAGGTTAAATGCACCACACTTAACAATTTGGTGTGTGTGGGGGAGGGGCATGGAGGTTCGCATGTTCCTGTACCTGAAGGCACACAAAATATTACACAAAATAAATGTGAGAAAAATCTGAGCAATAACGACTTTCTGTATATTAGTTGCCTTTTAAAATGATAGGCTTAACAGAGGTGGAAGATGTTGTCAAAGTTAGGTGTGTTTCACTAAAATGTAAAACATGTTACCATAGTCCCTATAATATGAACTGGCAACAGTAGGTTATGTCACAAACATGAACACAGAAGGGAGGGGGGAAAGAGAGGGGGAAAACGTTTTCGCAGAATAGCAGCATTTACTAATACTAAGTAACTTTTACTTAGTATTAGTAAATTTGGCTGGAAGACCAATTTAGGTCTTTCAGCCTTTTGGTAGATAACTCTCTAATACCGTGGGACTTAGGGAGTTATCTACTAAGCGGCTGCAAGAGAAGTCCCGAAATTCCAAAATGCCGAAGTTCCGAAATTCCGAAGTGCTGAAGTTGCCGAAATTCCGGAGTGTCGAAGTGCTGAAGTTTCGAAGTGCTGAAGTGGCAAAGTTCTGAAGTGTCAAAGTGCCAAAGTTCCGATGTGCAGAACCACACGGTGGTGCCAAAGTCCCGAAGTTCCGAATTGCCGAAGTCCCGAATTTCAGAATGCCGAACCGAAAATGTTCCCCATGCACATCCCTAAATATTAGAGCTATGTGCCACATATATTCCAACCATATATTCTAATTATAATGTTTTTTGTTTTGTTTTCTTTTCTTTTTTTGTAACATGGAGGTATATACATAGCACCTGGTCAGTAGACCAAACTTGGGCAAGACATAAGAGATGGTCTAAGCTTTTAGAGTATATGTTATAGCCCGTGGTCGAGATTTTAGGGTTGTAAAAGTACGTTAAGATTGGGTAGTGTGGATCCAGGTGATAGATTAGGAAATGGGTAATGTGTTGGGAAAGGACCAGTCCACCGTGTTACTCCCCGGCTGAGCTCCTTCATGAGGTATAATTGGTTTTGCACAGGAAATTGTCAGTTTTAACCAGAATCATGTGTCCCTTAAGTTTTATGTAATGATAATCATAGCCAGATACCGAGTAGTCAGGAATGCCCTCCTAAATTTTCAGCTATTAGAGGTGTGTTATGTTCATAAAGGTACGGGTGGTTAAGCAGTCATCTGAGATTTGACTACATGTCATGGTAAACATATCTAAAAGTACCCAAATTGGTCCGGGAGCGGGACCAAGGTAGGGAGTGAAAGCTTAGCCTCTGATCTTTATGCAGCTCTTTGTAAATATACATAGTGGTAGACTTGTAGCTATATGGGTCAGACCACAACAGAGGTTATGTGGACTGCAAAGGAGGCTTTAAGAAAGGGTTGCAAGCTCCTGTCTAAACTGCAATATGGCGCAAAATGGAAATCACAGCCTGGGGAGTAGACTGACAGTAGATAATAGCTAGATAGCCAAAAAGAAACATATAAGCAACAAAACGATATGTCTAACTCAGTGTCCCGTGTATGTAGGAATAATGTTGGTATGGGAAGCTACAGTTTAGGGTCAATACCCACACAGGGTTTAAGTAACATCTTAATCGTGGCAAGTAGAGCCAACTTAACATCTGATCTATTTAAAATTATGAATAGTTGAGATTATATGTGACCTGGAAACTCAGTTCATGGCACAGGTTCTTGTGTCGCACTCAAATGTGGCAATTGAGAAAGTTCTTTGTTTGTGGTACATTTCTTGTCAGGGGTTGGTTTTCCCTGCTGTCTCTGGGGTAGTGCAGCTGCGGTGCCCATAGGTATAATGGTGTACCAGTCCAGAATGTCTGTATGTGGGATGCGGAACTTCTTCAAGAATTCTGGAATATTTGATGCTGTCTTGATGGTAAGTTGTATGCGTTTGTGCATAACCCTAAGGGAGAATGGATAGCTCCATCGGTATTTAATGTTACGGTCTTACAGTATCTGTGTGATCGGGTACAGGATTCTTCTACCTTGGAGCATTGTCCACGACAGGTCTGGGAAGATCTGGATTAGGCTGTCTTTTGTTTGGAATGCCGGAGAGTCTTTGGAAGAATAGAGGATGTTTTCTTTTTCCATGTAGTAATGAATGCTGCAAATAATGTCTCTCTGTGCCTTCTTTGCAATTTCCTTAGGTCATGTGTATTCTGCCCAGGAACTGAGGAATGTCTAAGGAACGATTGAGTATTGAGCTGAAGAGCGTTTGTAGTTTGGAGGGTAGGTCTTCTTGTGTCTCCTGGTCCCCAGGTAAGCCTCTAATACGTGGGTTATTGTGCCTACTTCGGTTTTCAATATCCTCCATAATTCGGGCAGTGAAGGAGAAAAGAAATTTTAAAGAACCCTGCTTTGGCTCCACTGCTGTCAGTCTGTGTAGTATTTCCTCCCTTATTTTTCTCAATGTCCTTGACCTTATGACCAATATGGTGGACATCCGTTGTCAAGGCCGAGAGTTTCTCCTGGAATGAAGATTCCAACTGTGCTAGCATGGATGCCCTATCAGATTTTGACAGTAAGCTGTAAAGTATGTTGTGCATTTCTGGCTCTCTGGACATCGAAGTGTGATCCGACACCCCTGGGCTCTGTGGAGGTGAGTCACTTGGAATTGGGAGTGCTGCCATGTTTTCGTCACCTCTGCAGATAGGACTCTGACCTTGTCATGAAAATATCAATCTAGATCCCCGAATTTCTTGCTGTAACTCGGATCCAGATGGTCTTGTGATGCCAAGGATTTCTTTTTATTGCCTATTTTGGCATATAAAGTCGAAGAAACGGCTATAAATTAATCGGTGCAACTTCTCACATGGAGGATCAGGATATGTCCCATTCTCTACTACTACATATTGTAAAAAAATATTTAATTAAGTGATTTTGAAGATGTCATAATCCAGAGTTCTTCTGACATCTTGGGAATTTAGATTTCCAAAAAGGCTAGTAAATTATTTACAAATTCCAAAAAGAAGAGTACATGTCCCTCACCTTCTCTATATTCTAAAATGTATACTTGCCCTTGTATCTTTTTTATCCTGAGGGAAATATTGCAAAGCAGATGCTAAATTATTGCTTACATTTCATGAGCCAAACCTTTCTATAAAGGATAAACAAACACCTAAAATATGTGAATTTACAGCATTTCTATGTTTAGATATTCAAGAATAACAATCTGTTCATATAATCACAATATTGCCCCAACTGAATTTTCCTCTACACATCATTAAAATAAATGTTTTATTTAATTATTCTAATAAAAACTGAGAAATAAATGGGTTACACCACTCCCATGTAACTATTTCTGCATGTTTAGGGTGTTTGAACAGGGGAAGAAAAAAACACGTTATTTCTTAGGTGTGTGAAACCCATCATAGAGTATTGATAAACACTGGCCATTGCTACGGAATTTGTTGGCGCTATATAAATATAATAATAATAATAATAATAACTACAATATGTGTTTATAATAAATCACAGTTACTGAAATTCCCTCTTTACAAAATGTTTGGCTTTTGCATACAGATGGGCAAAGCAGATCTTATAAACATTTCTACTTTCAATGAAACGAGGTTCTAAGTTTCCTATTATTTATATAACACCAACAATGCTGTATTCTTAGCAAATTAAAAATTTTCTTTTGTTTTCACAGATGTTTTACCTATTTTCATAGCAGCAATCGTTCTTTATACAAACCTTGAAACAAATCTTATCTTCTGCATGGCACACCATGTGTAATTTATGATTCTCATGTCTGTTTTGTATGGTTCAATAATGTAGCTTTTTTTTTTTTAAGGAAAGAGAATAGACAATAAGAAGATAATAGAACATAATATATGTTTAAAAAATAGTAAATAGGATATAAAAGTGTTGAGCCTGACTGTAATACGAAAAATAACACAATGAAAACAACTAAACAAAAAAGTTACTTTAACCCCTTAACGCCGTTACGGCGTTCTATGCCATCGCGGCTTTAAAGGGCTTTAAAGCCGTTGCGGCGGCATAGAACGCCGTAACGGCTTAAGCCCCTAGGAGGTTTGATCAACTTACCTCCGCCGCGATCCTCTTCTGGAGGGCTGCCTGACAGCCCAGGCAGCCCTCCCCTGGCTAATGAGGCCCACGGGAGCCATGTGATCGCTCTCAAAGAGCGATCACATGGCCCCCTATAGCTGGCTGTGGATCTGTCAGCAGGGGGACTGTCTGAAATAGCAGACAGTCCTCCTGCTGGTGGGAAATTAAAAAAAATATTAATTAAACATGTGTAAAAATAAATTAAAAGTACCGTATTTTTCGCTCCATAAGACGCACTTTTTTTCCCCTCAAAAGTGAGGGGAAATGTCTGTGCGTCTTATGGAGCGAATGTGAAGAATTACTTACCTGTCTTGGAGCGTGGGCCGGCTTCACAGCGCGCTCCGGGGTCCAGGAACTTCTATTTCAGGTTCCGGTTTCCGGCGGGACTGAAAGGAAGTGTGCACACTGAGTGTGCACACTTCCTTTCAGTCCCGCCGGAAACCGGAACCTGAAATATTAGTTCCTGGACCGCGGAGCGCGTGTGCACACTTCCTTTCAGTCCCGCCGGAAACCGGAACCTGAAATAGAAGTTCCTGGACCGCGGAGCGCGCTGTGAAGCCGGCCCACGCTCCAAGACAGGTAAGTAATTATGGGACAAGGGGAGGGGGATACACTATGGGACAAGGGGAGGGGAGGAGACACTATGGGACAAGGGGAGGGGAGGAGACACTATGGGACAAGGGGAGGGGGGGAGACACTATGGGACAAGGGGAGGGGGACACTATGGGAGAAAGGGAGGGGAGACACTATGGGAGAAAGGGAGGGGAGACACTATGGGAGAAGGGGAGGGGGGACACTATGGGAGAAAGGGAGGGGAGACACTATGGGACAAGGGGAGGGGGGGACACTATGGGACAAGGGGAGGGGGGACACTATGGGACAAGGGGATGGGGATACTATGGGACAAGAGGAGGGGGGACACTATGGGACAAGGGGAGGGGGAGACACTATGGTACAAGGGGAGGGGGAGACACTATGGGACAAGGGCAGGGGGGACACTATGGGAGGGAAAGTGCACTATGGAACAATGGGAGGGGGGGACACTATGGGATCAGAACACTAATGGACAAGGGGAGGAGGGGTTAAAGAACACTATGGGACAGGGTAGGAGGGGTTAACAATCACTATGGGACAGGGTAGGAGGGGTTAACAATCACTATGGGACAGGGTAGGAGGGGTTAACAATCACTATGGGACAGAGGAAAGGGGGGTTAAAGATCATTATGGGAGAGGGGAGAAAAAACAATATTCTGAACAAACTGTCCCATGGTAAGAAACACTATGGAACAGTTTGTTCAGAATATTTTTTTTTCTGGGTTTCCTCCTCTAAAAACTAGGTGCGTCTTATGGTGAGGTGCGTCTTATGGAGCGAAAAATACGGTATTTTTATATATAATATATGTATATATATTGTATATATAATATATATACATATTATGTATATGTAACGTCATACAAAGTGTATTTTAATACTAATATTAGTATATATATTAATATTAAAATACACTTAGAATGACGTTACATATATATAATATGTATTTATATTATATATATAATAGATATATACACATATATTATATATATATATATATATATACGTATAATTACAATAATAAATAAATAAAATAATAAAATAAATAAAATATTGAAACAAAATGTTATGTAAATTATATATTCATATGTAATTTCATTCTAACTGTATTTTGTTATTTATATATATATATATATATATATATATATATATATATATATATTGGTAACAAAATAGACTTAGAATGACATTCTATATATCTATCTATATATAAAATACAAATAACCGCAAATATATATAGATAAATACATATAATTACATAAAAGATTACTTTAGTATACACGTAGAATTTAAATACCTATAAATGCATATATATTAAAATTCTACGTGTATATTTAAGTAATCTTTTAACATAATTATGTGATTTGATTAATTCAAATTTGATTGACATGCCTGACAACAAAGGGAGAAAGTGCAGAGAAATTAATTCGCAAGCACTATATTTGACCCTGTAACTCTCCAAGACACCATAAAACCTGTACATAGGGGGTACTGTTTTACTCGGGATACTTCGCTGAACTCAAATATTAGTGTTTAAAACTGGTAAATTGTATTACAATGATGATATTTTAAGTAAAAGTTACGTTTTGTTGCATTTTTTTACAAACGAACAGCCCTTTTATGGACTATATTATTGTTGTAATATGTTTTACTGTTATAATATTTGTGTTTAGTGAAGTCTCTCGAGAATAACAGTACCCCCCATGTACAGGTTTCATGGTGTTTTGGAAAGTTAGAGAGTCACATATAAGGCTTGCATTTCATTTTTTTGACATTGAAATTTGCCAGATTGGTTATGTTGCCATTGAGAGCGTATGGTAGCCCAGGAATGAGAATTATCCCCATGATGGTATACCATTTGCAAAAGTAGACAACCCGAGGTATTGCAAGTGGGGTATGTCCAGTCTTTCTTGGTAGCCACTTAGTCACAAACACTGGGCAAATTTGTTTTCACACAAAAATAAATATGAACGCTAACTTTGGCCAGTGTTTGTGTCTAATTGGCTACTAAAAAAGATTAAACATACCCCACTTTCAATACCCCATAATGGTATGCCATTATGGGGGTAATTCTCATTCCTGGGCTACCACACCATCTCAAAGGTAACATTACTAATCTGGCAAATTTCAATTGAAATATGGAACGTTCTATATTTGACCCTGTAACTTTCCAAAACACCATAAAACCTGTTAATGGGGGGTAATGTTGTACTCGTGAGACATAGCTGATTACAAATAT